TTTGACATATATATATATATATATACACACGACATACCTTAATGTAATTGGAACAGTTTCTGATAACGGGAATGTAACAGGTGTGTAATGTGTTGGTACAAAATTTTGTTTATTTCCTTCTTCGGTTATAATGTATAAATTGACTTGTATTAACCAAAATGCTGTCATTGCATGAAATTTCGACAAATGACACAACATTTCCGGCACTAATAGACTCGCTTTAAGAGATAGATACCTAGAAAAAAAATTGTAGGATGAGTTTTTTAACTTGAGGGCAAAATATCTAGGAAAGTAAGCATTGTACGAAATAGATGTTCCAAATAAACCCTCAATATCTTCGAGGGAGCAATTCTTTCCTGTAAAAGTTAGCCGCCTCCCGCCCCCTCCAGCTGTAAGTGGGGTTCGTGGTAACTTTGAAATCTTAAATGGAAACCCCTAACTTTTTACTGCAAATTCAGATTCTATGTCCAAAAACACGTAAATTTTGTCTAAACCAATTTTTCACCCACAGGGGGGAGGGAGGCAGTTAATTTTTGTGGGATAGAATTTCTCCCTCGAAAATATTGAAGGTTTATTTGGAACATTTTTTTCTACAATGCTTACTTTTCCAGATATTTTGCAATTTCAAGTTAAAAATTCAACCTATATATGTATGTGTGTGTATTATATATATATATATATGTAATAATGACTCCTTTTATCTCCTTATGTGGAGCATAGGACGTCTATAGGCCTCTTCCTTTCTTGTCCGAGGCCTATATTCGTTTCTCGAATCAGATTGTTTTTTTTTTTTTCGGATTTGTGGGTGATTGATCCACAGAATCCTACCTCAGTCAGATATTAGAGACAAATATCTATAACTGATATGTATACTGATGTATAGGACCTATAGTTTAACGCCGAATCCGAACGGCGCTGATGATCATAGATCTTTTGATCACCAGGTGTAGCCATTTTTTGGTTCATTAAACGCGAAAAATCGCGTTTGGGCGCACGTGGGATTGAACTCGGGTCTACATATCGCGAGTCAATCGCACCGAGCGGTGAGCCACTCGACGCCACACACACATATATATATATATATGTATAATAATAAAAATATGAAAAGAATTAAAAATGTGCATGCGTGATGTGTTTTATATACTTTATCATCTCGGCTTCCATTCGTTGTGATATGAGCTCTAACACCTCTAAACTGCCACCAGTTCGAGCATCGTTGTAAGTTCTTTGTATCCTAGCCAAATCTTGATTTGCTCTGTAGAAAAATATTTAAACAATAAGAGAGAACAGATCCTATGTATTAAAAAAATTATATAGGATTAATTACTTGCTTACTTTAAAAACTTATCCAGAATAACTCTGTAACCAAGATCTAGTGCACGATGTGTAAGAAAAAAGCATTCTGTTATAAATCCAAATGAATCTGACATTGGTCGACTTTCATTCTCTGAAGTTGGTATTAAACAGGTTTCTGAACTCAATCCTTTCATATGTATACCACGTTGCAGACTCTCAGTTTCATCTTTTGCCTAAAAATACAACCAGGAAAGTGACATGTAATTGTATGTAAGAATTGTGAGAGTAATTAACTTATGATTAGTAAATCCTAGATTCAATACCAGCTCGTGTTTTAGTTTATAAGAGTTTAATCGAAAAAAAAAATCAAAGTTTGTAAAAGATGTAAAAGGAGTATAAGATAAATCGCTAAAATAAATGCTTATTAAAACTTATTTGTTTATTGCATATGTTGATATGAATGTATGTATATATGTATCAGTTCTATCATTTATAAAGTATTCAGACTTAGATGCATTTAAATTAACATCTGAGACACTAAAGCTGTTTTTTTTTTTTTTTTAGAAGTTACAGGCAACACAAATGTATTTTAAATCATTCTATTCTTCTTGGCATTTCAATGAATAACAAAGATAGAATGACACTTGTACCGATTGTCTCTTAAAAGAAAAACAGCCTAATGAATCCAAGTATTGTGTCATGTTTTTTAAAATCTTGGAAAACCAACCTCTGCGCTACAGTATGTAGGATCTATTTTCGGCACTTTGCCATCATTCAATTTAGCACAAAATGGTTGACAAAGTCTTAACAGTACATTGCCCATATTCAACATAAAACCATCCGAAACGCACAGTACCCCTAGTAATCCCATTTCCATATGAGAGTTCCAAAGTTTTCCTCTATTTGCATTTGCGTAGAGACAATTACCTAACCATTGCAAAGTCAAATGACGAACTTTTGTCGAACATCTCAACAAGGAATGGAAAACCTTGTACAAGGCTTCGCTTAAACTGTCCATCGTTGTCCATATCGTACCCTCCATGACTGTATTTGTCTATGACATTTTAACAATGTATAAAGCATATCATATAGCTTAAAAAGCTATTTGATTAATAGGAAAACTCGTACTTGCTGTAAAGGTTTATCAAAGAGATCATATGGATCTTTAGCTGTTTTTGGTAAACAGCTTATGCTGAAGAGTGCACCCAATAATGTATCTGCATATGCACAACCCTGATTATTTTTTGGTGTACTATGATGAATTATCAATTTTGCCAGTGGATCAATGGTGGAAAATGCATTCAATAGAGCAAACCACTGTTGACGGAAGGTAAAGAGATTGCTTTGAGCTGCTTCCTTATGAATAATATCAAGGATAGGAGAGAATGATTTTGTAATTATGTCCTCTACATCGCTTTCTCTATTTGTGGTTATTAATTCTTCTACTATACCATTAACAAATAATAACAATTCTGACTTAGATGCAGCATCATTCATAAATAATGCAACAAATTGGCTATGAACCTGTAATAATTAAAATGTATGATAATTAATGACAACTATACTGTCAATGTACATTTTACTGATTCAACATAAATTGACATTCTTAGACCTATTTCTACTAATGATTAACTTTAATCTACTATTAAAGATTTTAGAATTTAATCTCTGTTTAATTTACTTTTTATCTCTGTCTAGTTTTAAGAATAAGAATTAGAAAAAGATATAGAAATATTAAAATAAGTGTGATAAAGTTTATCTACACTAGTAGAAATAAACATTAAACTATATTATAAAATCATTGTAGTGTCAATCTTTAGAGGATAAGAAAGCCAATATAGTGACATTAAAACAATGTTATATTCTGAAACAAGAAATGTAATAAATTATAATTAATATTCTTCAACAAAAAAAAAAGACAATACAATGATCATTTCATCCTTGTTTAACAATGAAAAATAACAAGAATGTAAGATTCACTGTTGTTACATTACGGTATCTGTATCTCTTGTCACAAAAAGTATTCAATAAATCTTATTTAAATGAGGTTCTACAACAAGTTGATAGTTCGTAATTAAAATCTGAACGTCTTAAAGCCTCAATTGTATAAGTTGACTATTGGCCAACTTTATTGATTAAGACTTAAGACTGTTTAGGACTTCTGACTACTGATTCATTGTAGAACCCTGATAAAAGTTGTAAGATTTAAGCAATGAGATTTCTAAAATGACACTCTCATTCTCTAAAGGTTAAAAAAACTATAATACCTCCTGATACTGAAACAAATCTGGTTCTTGTAAAGCTGTGTTGACATTTAGCAGTACAATTTGACAAGCGTTTCTTACAATATCTTCGAGATCGCCGTTTACTTGATAGTGCTTTAAACGACAGTAGCATTCATATAGGTATGCTATAACCTGTGTTTCAACAACATGACTATCTACATCTTGCGTTTTAGGTTTAGGATTTGACAGCATCAGACGCTCGAAGACAGCATGTTCTATCGAGTCAGCATCAATATACACCAGAGAGCTTTGCGCACGACTGTCATTATCTCGACGCAACGTTAAACCAAACACATGTGCCACAAGTTGATCAACCTTTTCATCGAAATTTGTAAGCTCCGTCGCATTTTCAGATTTGTCCTTAATCGCATCCGACGATCGTTCCGCGTAATTTACATTGCTGGCTTCATTGCTGATTGCATGCTGCGAAGAGAATGAGACAGCATCATTATCTGTAGAAAACAATCCAGCGAATGGGTTGCCTTGTATATTGTCGCACATGATTGCAGTGTTTTTTTTTTTTATAGCGAGATCTCTGCAATGGACATAATTAAACTGCAAGCGAAACAACGTTTCTTGTCATCCTATCATTTAGTTTCAATGTGCCAAATGTTCACTTCTTACTGTCACACAACCCAACACCCAACACGAATCTCGATAATACTCATATTACTCACTAGTAGTCACTAGTACTGCTCGATCATCGTTCAATTGTGTTCAATACGAGATATTCGAGGAATAAAAATTGTAAATTGTGAAATCATAACAGTGAGTCTGTTGGTGTTGCACTTCTTGCACCTTTGCTTTCTCTCTTCAATATTTGTTGAGAACAGTATTTGCTTGAACCACCATCGCCCACAGTGTTTACTTTTAACACAGTGATAATCATCATAATCTGAATATGTGTATATATATACATACATATAAATATATATTTTTCTTTTCAAATCTGAAATTTTTGGGAGATTACCAAATATTGTCAAGCAGCGCAAACAGCGTGTTGGCGAATTTTCCAAACTTGTAGAAATGCCAGTGTCTTATTATCGTCGGTAATAAGACATAACAAATTTAGAATATCGATTAATTTATTAATGTAATTAATAATTTAAATGGTATGTATAAATTTGTTTGTGTTGGCTACACCTTTTTTTTATTACTTCATTTTTATTTCCTTGTATATTGCGAGCTATATTAATTTACTTAATTTTAAGTTATTATCGACAAGATTTCATCCAGTAAATATATGAGATTAGTTTTTACCTTCAAGTTCTGGCCAATCATATTTGATTGTTCAGTAAGCAATTGTGGTATTGGATATGTCGTTAACCAATCAGAAAACGCACCTCTTAGGAACTTTTTTATCGAATTTTTGGGCTGTGTTTCATCATTTGATGTTCCTAGAATTTAGGTTATGTTGCTTTAGAATTAGGTGTCTTGATCTTGATCTTGATACGGGATTAGCGATTATGTTTTTGTATTTTAAAATAATATAGTTCCAAGTGTGCGTAAAAATGTTGTTATTAAAACGTGGATGTGAGGTAAACTTCACACAAAGTTTGCCGAAAATGCTGAGGCTTCTTGCAGCGTATTCGAGCGCCTCTGAATCGAACGAACAGGAACGTTGGTATTGGTTATATATTTCAATTTGTTGAATTCCAGAAGCACAAAAGGATAAGTATATTTGTCTTCATTTTCAGAATTTCGAGTACTGCAACTTTACCCGCAAAAAAAGGCCTTTAAACAGGAGAAGCAAAAAATACAACATATAAATGTTCCACCACCCAGGTCAACGGAGATGCCTGTCGACCAGGACTGGCCGTCGGTTTGGCCGGGTGCGCGAACCTTTCACCCTGCTTCGGTACCTCTTCCGTTGCGTCAAGGGTACAACGAAAAGGGTGAGCCGCCTGGTAAATACGCCAATGCTGAGCTAATGAAAATACCAAATTTCTTGCATCTCACACCACCGGCGATACGGAGACATTGCGAAGCATTGAAACAGTTCTGTACAAAATGGCCCACTGGTTTGGAAACAGAGGAGAAATGCATGAAACATTTCCCTGTTGAGATCATTACATCAGATTATTGTTACTCTTCACCTACCATAAGAGATCCATTAGCTAGGATCGTGAGTCTACGAGTAAGAATGTCCTCACTTCATTTAGATGCTCATGCCAAAGATAAACTGCTGCGGTTGCTGGGAAATAAGTACAACCCAGACACAGATCTAATAACAATTACAGCTGATAGATGCCCAACAAAAAAGCAAAACTTGGAATATGTATGGTATCTACTCACAGCAGTGTATCATGAATCTTGGGTAAGTAATAGCTGGTTTGTATAAATACATCAAATTATTCATATATACAATTCATAAGTTCAGTGAGAAAAGTCTAAGACAATTGAAAAATAAATTGAAAATAAATTTAAATTCATCAGACATCACGTATTCTGACATACATGGTTTCTAATAGGTTGAAATCTGTTATTCTCTGTTTCTATTGCCTGTACTTTTCAACTATGTCTCGAGCTTAACATGAAGTCTTATTTATAGAGGGTAGAACTGTGGGAAGCTGAGAAGTCAGTGGCAGACATGGAATATTACGATTGGGACACTAGCCCAAGTCGTACAAACCTAGTAACGCTGTACAAGTGGCCGGAACCACCAACCGATTATGACTACGAGACTATCCCGCACGCAACGGAATACAAAATTGCCGTTTCAGATCTTATAAACAACGGCGAAGATGAATACTCGGTCAATAAATATAAAGAAGCTGTTAAAAATTTGTTAAATCTTAAATGTGATAATAAAGGTTGAACTTTGAATATCGTGTAAAATTGAACTGTATCACGAAAAGCCGAATTACTTTTAACTAGCGTTATCTATTTCTTCGTGATTTCAGTAAGCGATGTCCTATTTAAAAGATCAATTTGCCGTGTATAATTTTACGCTCGTTACCTATCAAGACTAATGTCAACATAGCAAGATCGAAATTACGTTATTCGCGTAACAATACTCGAATTTACTATAATTTGAATAAAACGCGAATAATTGGAGCGTATGAGGAATCCACCTGAAACGCTCGTTGTCATCTCTTTCTTGGTACTTATATATTTGTCGAATACAATCGAGTCTCCATATCTTCGAAATGTGAAGTAGAAATTTTAACGACATCGCAAACATTAACGATTGTTTTACGTTTTATAACGATATAGTGTCGTCCTCGATGCATTGAGGATCTTGTCACACGTATAGTAACACGCGTAATATAAAAAGTAACAAAAGTCTAAATAGTCATCTGAATTTAAAATGTTGAAGATTATATTGCTTCTTGGTGTGTTCGACATTATTCGATGCGAGATGCAGTCAACAAGACTAGAAAAGACTGTAACCGAAGCACCGTCTTGCAGTAATCCGCCCATGTGTTATTTACCAGATACATACAAGACAGAGCTGAAGAGCGTATCGTTTCTACCTTATCTGAATTTTCCGAATATACGCAAGCAACAATCGATTCAACGAAGTTATTATAATGGGTTTGGCTCGTCCGCACCGGCTTATTACCAGTAAGTTTTTCTTAAAATAATCGTATCAAATCCTCTTCTTTCGTTGCAAAGATAGTTTGTCCACAGTAAAGTGTATTTTAGCGCTTTTGATCCCATCAGTGTATTAGCGTCATTAGCGTTCTTGGCATTTTTGTTGCAATCATTTGCCACGCTTTTTGAACGTTCGAGATCAATCCTACCGACGATAGTTAGTGGTAGACAGTCAGCCGTAGACTTGAAAGTTCCAGAGATTTCGAAACACGTGTCGCATGCCTTAAGGGAATACGTGAGTATTCCAAGTTGAATGATAGCTGAGTAACAAACAATAAGAATATATAATGTATATAATACAAATGTGATACTTTCAGGAAAATCTCAATGAAGATTTGAAGAAGTAATCGATAATAACTTTTGTATTAAAAAAAAAAAGTAATATTTATCGTTTTTTTTCAAGCGATCTTTAGAAATTTACATAAATAATTTATTTTTCTTATGAGAATACATCAAATAGTCGATATTTTCCACACAGCAGCAACTTGTTGTCAATATATATATATATAAAGTAATTTAATTTTTGTATTTTTACTTATGCGATGTAAATCTTTAAATATAAGTTTGGTATACAAAGCATTTTAATAATAAAAATGCACTCTCCCTCTCTCTTTTTCTTTCTTTGACAACAAATTATATAAAACTTTATTAATTATATAATGTATTTTTCGAAAACAACGAGATATATCACAATTGTTGAGCTATTTTTTGCCTTGTCTATGTTTCAGTGTTGAATAAAAGAGAGATTAGGTCATACATATATATAGATGCATGTTATATAGTTCACAAATAATAAAATTTATCATTTTATTTCCTAAACAAACACAGAGAAAGAGAGTGAAAGAGACATTGCTTGCACAATTATAGATATATATTTTTTTGCATTAAGCTAAAAAAATATAGGTAACATTAAAAGAAGTCATTTTATTAGAATACTTGACTTTACTCTTTAAGCATGTATAGTCAACATTATTTACTATTTAAAATCTTGCATCTATGTAAAAATGTTTTCTAAAGTCTTATTACTTAACGCAATATTTGTAAGATCATCATCTCTTCAATCTTGCGTCCAGGTACTAAATTTTTGTCTAATATTTACCATGGAACTCTAGTAGATGGTGGAGCAAGAGTGGATCTATAATATAAACAGGACATAATATTTTACACATACATGGATAATGCTGATACATACCAAATATTCCTATAAAGATATCGGAAAGACTTTAGATAATAAAATATTAAAAATTCTCTCTGATACTTACTTTTTCCCAGCAGTTGGCTTTTGATATGGATGGGTTGTCATAAGGCCGCGCCTCTCTTTGTTACGTATTGCTTTAAGCGTCATGTCTGTCTTTTCCTCGGCATTGTTGTGTCGGGAAAGAGATGATGACAAATTAGCAGTATCGCTCTTTAATTTATTTAGAATGGCGACACTTTTTGCACTCATTTGTATAGGCCTCTGCTGTTTATTCTCCTTGTCTCGACCAATAGTCTGTATTTTGTTATTCATTACTAGTCTTTTCATCTGCTTGGAGGGTGTACTGCTGTTTTCACTGTTTTTGTCAGATAATACACGTTTCTTGATTATGTTCTTTGCAACCGTTCTTTGTGGAGATGGTTGCATAGATTCGTCTTTCGGCAAGAATTTATTTTCGTTGCTTAAATTACTTCCATCGCTTAAGTCACAAATATTGCTGTCAATATTATTTTCACTCGTAATAGTATCAAAGGTGCAGTTCAAAACATTTATACTGTTGGGTTCTTCGTCCATCTCCGAGATTGCTGGCATTGGATTGTTTAACGGGTCTATCCCACCAGTACTCAAACATGTGAACATATTGAAATCATCCACTTTATTTGCCTCGTCTGTATCAGACCATTTAATATTTCGAAAACCTTCGAGCAACTTTATTAATTCTTTAAATTCTAATTGCATTTTTTCTGTCATTGTACCAAAGCCTTTCACCATATTATAATAATTCTGTAATGTATTACTCATATTCTTTGTTATAGTGTTAATCGATAGCCTCTCACTTTGTAGAACATTGCTGAGTTTCTTCATGTGCTGTTGCATACTGGGAATCCAGCATTTCTCAATCTTGAAAATTTCCATGGACAGTTTATTCTGCAGATTCTCATCGAGAGGCTTAGTTTTTACCTCTTGTATTTCTGTCTCGATCAAACATAATTCCTGCCATGTTTCTTGCATTTGCGCTTTAAGGGCTTCTCTCTGCCGTTGGAAATGTTGTACAGATTTATTAATACGTAACTTTCCACTAACATTTTGTTCTTCCTGTGACAAGATATCGCTGGCTGACGTTAGATTGTGCAGTCTTTCATCGGCGTCTTTCTTATAGAGTATTCTGCAAACCAAAATCTTATCAGCGCTCTCCAAACTTAGTATCTTCTCTATAAAATCTTTCTTCTTCTCATGTAATTTTATCAGCTTGTTGTATGTATCCAACATGACAACACTTGGTTTGTTCTCAACCAGTTGTGGTGTTCCATTCTCATAAGCTGCCAATTTTGATTTCAAAATATTTATCTCCTTCTTCTGTTCTTCTACTATCTTGATGTAGCCAGCAACATGCGTCTCGCAAGATACATTCTTCTTAGCGTTCGATTTGATTTTTTTTGCACGATTCGCGTATCTTAAAGTATTATGTGTATCTTCATAAGTAATACTACAAGGGGCAATATTAGCTATCATAACAGTGTGACAATTACCACCAAGAGAATCCTTTAATAGCCTTGTAAGTTTAGAGTCTCTATATGGAATATATTTTATACCATCTGCTAGATTATTTATACAATTTCCAAGAGCTAATAAGGATTTATTGATGTTAGCGCCTTCCTTAAACCTTACACCTTTGCATCCGGTAGCTGAAGCTCTTTCAGATCCTGCCAAATCGATCATGGATAGTTTGACTCGTTGCACTTGACTGTCTAGTTTGTTGATCATCTTGATGTACACCTGGAAAACTGCGTGACTTCTGCTGCTTTCCTTGTTTGCATCCGTTGGATGTTGAGTACGATTCTTATTACCTTCTGCCAACAGCGACAACAATTCCTCAGCACTCTGAATAGCAATAGGTTCTAGTCCAGCAACTATAACTCCGCATCTACCATCTTCCCTCAGGTGCAACTGGCCTGATTTGTGCAACAAATCTTGTACGTTTTCGTTATATATTTCCAGATAAGACACACCCAAAGTAAATTCACGATGTTTGCTTTGATTCTCAATCTCGGAGAAAAGTTCTGCCACGGTGTGGTACGTAATACCAGGGTCTTCCTTGTTACCCAGCATAGTATGAGTTTTTCCAGCACCAGTGGCACCATAGGCAAATACAGAGCAATTGTAGCCATCCAGAAGGCTGCTGATTAAACTCTTGGTGCTTCCTTCGAACACATTGGTATTGGTCGATGTCAAGTCGAAAACTCTGTCAAAGATAAATTGTAGTTGCTTATTCTGTTTCTTCAGCATGTCCCTACCCTTCTGCGCGACATTGTGGAAGAAGAAAGGCGTCTCTTGTTGCTTCGGGTCAAAAATCAACATCTTGTCGTCGACGACTTCGATGATCGTTCTGCTGTTGTCCTGCAACTCACGTTCATTAGGCGGACGTACTCGCACGATCACCTTAATTGATATTTCGGAGGTATCCTCTGTTTTTATCGTGGAACCGCTTGTGCTCGGCTTGACCGATCCGCCGGGCGACAACTTCCTCTTGAGTCCCACTTTCTTGGCTTTAGATGGCGAGAATGCCTTGCCTAGATCCTTCTTGTTGAAAACCATCATTATTGGACTACGACCGCACGAGTTTGACTAATTTACAAGCCTCACAGTATCATAGCGCGAAGGAACACACGTTTTTTCAGAGAGCGAAGGAACACACGTTTTTCTTCTCACATCGTGACGTCGCCCGACGTCGCTGCTTCAGAAATTTTCGAGCGTTTCGTCTATCGTTTACTATACAATCGTTACTCGATGTGCGTTGAACTCGCTCGATCGCAGGCAAGTTCCTTTTGTCGCAAAAGTGAAAGAAAACAGTGTTAAAGTCAACACGAAACCAACGAATAAACGCTCTTCACTTCACGCGGACAGCCGTTTGGCGTTACGTTAAGTTTTGAATTTTAAACCCCGACAATGCCGACAATCGAGTGCAGGCGCGCCAATGGCAAGAAGATTAAAATCACAGAAGAGGAAATGCACCAGATTTTTTCAAGCTCGGTTTCCAACAACTTGTGATTGAGGATTGCAACATCTGAGTGCAATTGATTACGAATTCATTCGTATATTTTAGTATTAATAAATTATTTAACTCTTTTGCATTCAATTGCATCGGTGTTGCACCATAGCCATTTTTGAAGTATTAAGTCATAAGAAATTGACCACTCACAGTCGATTATTCTTCTCACATTCGATTGTGATTGGTAAATTTCTTATGATTTAACACTTAAAACTTAAGTGATGGCTCATTGTAGAAGGCCCATGATGGCCTTTATAAGCGTTTTCGTTTTAACTGAATCCTACATAAATAATATTCCAGTGAATTTGTTCTCTTTCATAAATTTCATCTCACTTCGAGATAAACAATCGATCCTCTGATATAACAATCGATTCATAAAGTTAATCGGAGTTGGTGAGACCGAGACAAAATAAGATATATATATATATATATATATATATATATATATTTGGGCGTTGAAAAGAAAGAGAAAACGAAGATGCTGAGTGCAAAAAGTGCAAGCGACACGAACAGACTTATTATTCGTGCGTGATCGCGTGGTTCTGTTCTGTACCATGGTACGTTCATTAGGCCTGTTCTTTTTACCGAACTGGTACACAGAGTGCAATAAGTTGAAGTGAAACAGATATACGTTTGTTTAATTTCAACTTATTGCACTGTATGTACCAGTTCAGACAGTGCAGGCAAAAAGAACAGGCCTATTATTGTTCATTGAGCTTATTCTCCGTCATTCTCGTATGACGTTTTGGAGCGTTAGGTGCTCCGAAGATTACACGTGTTTACGTTAGTTTGGGCACGTTGTGACTACATACAATAACATAAAGGGAGCGAGAACTTCAACATCGCTACAACCGAGGCAATGTTTTATTTCATGAGTTTTATGCACGTCGATTAATTCCAAAAGAAAGAGAATCGTATCTGTATTACGTAAATCGCAATATATAAGGTATACAGGGTGTTCGCACGATACGTCAAATTCAAGAACGCTGTCAAATTCAGGCACGCATTTATTTTGAGTGTCTTTAACCTATAAGAGGTCAAAGATGTGTTGGAAAAGCGGGGGAGAAGTGGAATATTAGCACGAGGAACGGTGCCGAAGCAAGGCGATATTCCAAGATAGGATGGTCTTGCAAAAGATCAGCTATGACTTCGTTAAAAGTTTCCGGCATGTTCATGCTAGAACAAGCGAGTCTTGCGGTAACAAGAGCTTCCAACGATTGTATATGGCATTACCTCGGCTTACGCAGCAAGAGGTAGACTTAATTTAATCCTTAATACACACAATTTTTAGTTTTTTTATTGCACAAGATGGATCGTTTGTGTCCTAGATAAATTTTTATTGTTTTTACAAGTATACAAAAATTATTGTCATTTGTACATATATGTTAATATTTTTAAAGTTATATATTAAGAAAATAAAGAATAGAGATAATTATTTAACCAGGTGTTCTTAGCACCTTTCAATGAAAAGCAATATGCACACAAATGACTCAACCGTGTTTATCTCATCTCGTCTTTGTAAATATATCATGCATAATATATCATTATTATCTTGTTGTAGGTCACAAATGTCTTACAAGCCAATGAGTATACCAAAGAATTTTCTGGCACAGGATCCATAAAATATTATGATTCTAATCAATTAGCATCTAACAATCCTATAGAAGATACAAGAGCCGAAGCTCAATGTTTGTTAACTAAAGGTACATACAAAAGTCAAATTATAGGCCTTATTTTATAACTCTTTAACAACAATGTCAATGTTATTGTTGCATTAGATCTGCTTTTTTTAATTACATTATCGAATATTCTTTATACTTACAATAAATTAAGTATATGTTTGATATTTGACAAAAGCCAGAAGGAAAAATTTGTCACCTAGTGCTACAATAAAAAAATAAACTCGTTGCACAGATTTGACACAATAGAAAAGTTATGCAACGACAATATTGTTAAGAGTTACAAAATAGGGACCTGTAACTAATTTTTCCTTGCTTAAATCATTGGCTTTATCAAGCAGTTGATAAAACATAATTCTAATGACATAGATAAGTGATATCAGGCATTAAAATTCAAGGATTTCTTAGTTTTATGTCACTACAGATACATTGTTTTCAATTTTATCTATTTGCAGGTGTGTTATTGGGAATTTTCGATGGTCATGGTGGTGGTGCCTGTGCACAAGTAGTATCAAAAAGGCTGTTTCATTATATATCAGCATGTCTGTTACCATCAAAATTATTGGAACAATATTTAAATTCTATTGGTACTGACAAGAAGATAAATTTACTCGAGACTTTCAATGATAAAATAGAATTTGTAGCCGAAATCAGAGATCTCTATCAAGTCAGTTTCTTAAATTTTATAAGAGACTTGATGCAATCGGATACTGGAAAAGAATTTCAAATGGAAAAGGCTTTGGAAAATGCGTTTCTCAGATTAGATAACGACCTATCAAACGAAGCTTTGTTACAACTAAATAAAAAAGATGCTGCAAAAACTCTTGCTGTTGCAATGTCGGGTACGGTAGCCACTGTGGCGCACATAGATGGCCCTCATCTACATGTCGCTGGTGTTGGCGATTGTAAGGCCGTCCTAGGAGTACTCTCAGGTTTGTTTTTGCATTATATTTTATTATTGTATCCAATATTAATTAAAAAGATGGATGTACTAATAAATCCTGTATTGAATTCATTTAGAAAATGATGGGTGGTCGGCTAAAATTATGACGGTAGAGCATAACGCTGATAATCGCACAGAGGTAGAGAGAATCTTGTCGGAGCATCCACCAAACGAGAGATCGACTGTGATTAAAATGGAAAGACTGCTTGGGCAATTAGCGCCACTTCGCTCATTAGGTGACTTTCGCTACAAGTGGACTAAGAATATTATGAAGGAAGTTGTGGTACCATTTCTTGGCGAGACGGCGATTCCTCCGAATTATCATACACCGCCCTATTTAACCGCCAATCCGGAGGTCAAATATCACAGACTGACGCCAAGAGACAAATTTCTAATATTAGCTAGTGACGGACTATGGGACCTGATTTCACCATTACAAGCTGTACGCTTGGTAGGAGAACATATGAGCGGAAAGGTTACGCTCAATCCATTCAGATTACCTCGTAAAAATATGAAATTGTCAGACATAAATGAAATGTTGCTGCAACGCAAAGAGGGCTTGAAGAAAAAACCGCTCGATAGCAACGCAGCGACGCATTTACTGAGGAACGCTTTAGGTGGTACAGAATATGGAATAGATGATGCCAAATTATCACAATTGTTGACTCTACCGAGCGAAGTGGTTCGGATATTTCGTGACGACATCACCATAACGATCGTTTATATGGATTCAGAATTTTTAAGACAATGTCCTCCCTAAAGCTGTCGCAATTTCTCACTATTTTTTAATACTGGTGTGTATCAGTATACAGCTTGTTATTTATTTAGTTAACAATAAAAACAATTTACATGAAAACAGTATTCTGAATATCAATATGTATATAATATATTACATAACACTCGCGTTACTCCGATTTCAATTAGCAAAATCCTTTTAACTGGCTGACACAGGGGGTTCAAATCTCTACGAATAATCCCGTGTTAAGCCCACTCGAATCGAAACAATCGGATAGTAATACACAAAAGTGTTTGAGACTACGATCAAAGGTGATTAGGAAGTAGCTATATAAAATCTATGATTTACAATTAATTTGTTAGGTACTTATTATAGTGATTACAATAGTGATGCATTAAACACAGAGTTTGCCATATACCTCGTAAATGTATCACCAACATTTTTCCTACTTTGCACTTTATGATAAAAAATAATCAACCTCTTGTTTGACTGCTTGATAAAAGTCTAAGAATTTTTTATCTCAAAATATATAGTTTATTTCATAAGTTATGTCATTTTTGCTAAGTAAATAAGCAATAAGCTTATGTAATAACGGATTACATTCGCTGTTACACTAAAAAAAAGAGAGATCTAAAGAAGGAAACGAGGGGAAAAAAGCTCGTTTCCAAATATATAACGCATTTTTACAGATATTATCAAGCGAATATCATAAGAGGAATAAGGCAAGCATGTATAACTAAAAATATTTGTTGAATTATAATTCTATTTACTTAATACGAGAGTTCAAAAGACTCTCTCAACCCTCTTGACCAAAATCTTCCTTAAATTTCTCTAACTTTCCCAAATCTTCTTCATTCACTGTAGGACGGGTTGTTGCTAGTGATTTCAACATATCTTTCTATAAAGTGATAATAATAATATATATCAGATAAAAAAATACTCTTTTTACATACATCAGATATATATAAATATAAAATATATAAAAAAAGAATAGTATAACTAAGGCCTTGTACAATGGAAGAGTATCAAAAACAGAATATAAATGTCAAATATAAAAGAAATAAAAAAAATTAAAATTTACATTATATAGGATACATTATATGTTGTATCATGCTTATATCCCTTGTGCGTTATATTTAATCTCTATTTTTAATCTTTTTATTTCTCTAATATTTATTCCTGTTCCTATTATTTCTTCCATTGTATGTATGTACACACAGGGCCTAAGAAACAAGTATTTCCTATAAACCTTACCATGGTAACTGGTGGCTCAAACAATTTGTCACCATCTACTTCCATCCAATTCATTTCTATGGCAGCTGGGTCACCAGGGGAGCATGGAGTAAGTAAATCATCGACGATGACATTAGGATCCTTAGGCGACGGTCCTTTAACATGCTTAAAATGCGTAGCTGTTTGCACTTGTCGGATCGGTTGCATTAGAGCGTCTCGTACAATGATGCTTATATCGGCTCCCGAGTAACCATCAGTAGAAGCCGCTAATTTCTTAAAATCTTCCTCTGTCAAACAATGTGACGTATTACCCAAATGAAGCTTAAACATAGCAGAGCGCGCCTGTTTTTCCGGCAACGGAATGTATATTCTCTTTTCAAATCTTCGTCTAATTGCAGAATCCAAGACCCAAGGTATGTTTGTGGCCCCCAGCACAAGTATATTTTCATTATTGTTCCCTACACCTGTTGTACATATGCAGATAGAAACATTAGTCCAACTACATTTTGTGTTTATTTTGACAAAAGCCGTGCACAAAAACGGATAAATATTTGAGAATGTACCTTGCATCTGAACTAGAAATTCTGTTTTTATTCTCCTTGCGGATTCTGACTCATTATCTGACCGTGATGAACAGAGAGAATCTATTTCATCAATAAATATAATGCTACGTTCCTTTTGTCGGGCTAATTCAAACAGATTTTTTACAAGCTTCTCTGACTCTCCTAACCACTTGCTTACTAAATCTGAAGATGACGCAGAGAAGAAAGTAGCTTGATTAGCTTCTGTTGCCACCGCCTTTGCCAAATATGATTTACCAGTTCCTGGTGGCTAAATCGCAAATTTAAAATTAAGATGTCTAGAGTGAAAAAAGAAATACAATTAAATTCGCTGTATTTAAAATTGCTTACCCCAAATAACAAAATACCTTTCCAAGGTATACGTCTGCCAGTGAAGAGATAAGGAAAGTGCATAGGTAGAATAACAGCTTCTTTCAAAGCTTCTATGGCTCCATCGAGACCAATCACATCACTCCATTTAACATTTGTATTTTCGTTAATTATAACACCTTCCAATTTGCTTTGTAATTTCTTTTTTTCAGGGTCACTGTCATTGTCACTGTCACCACTGTCGCTCTTCTTATCCTCGCTCTTAGAGTTGTCTGCTCCAGCCTTAACTGGCTTTTTCTTATTCTTCTTCAAGTATTCCTTTAGTTTTTCTGCTCTTTCTAAATACTGCATACATTTTGCTCTTATACTTTCCTTTACCTTATCTCCATGTGTCTCATCTGAAATACATTAAGTAATAATTACATTAACTTAAATATTAATATAAAATACAGTCAATTTATTAACAAATTTTTAAGCTTATGCATTATTATTGTTTATTATTAAATATTAAATACTTGTTACTAAACGTACATTTGATTGAATGTAGGAAATATTCCACGCCATGCTCATATAATCTAAGGGCTTCCTCATAGTTTTTATTGCGATCTTCCTCTGTAGCCTTTGTCACAAGATCTATGGCTTTCTGTAAAATTGATTACTTGATCATTCTGTTGATATCTCGTTTTCTTCTAATTTTAGAAATGCTTACCTGTAGTATAGCCGAAGCCATCCTCAGCTGCTTCTCAATATGTTGAGAAGTTAAGTTTCTCTCTGGTAGAACACAGGATGTTCACGCCTGTTAAACCTAAAAGGATTTATCAATTAATAACCTTTAAAATCAAGAGTTGAGATGTACCACGTTGGCTATTCCGTTATCGTAGCCATCTTCAACAACGCGATCTTTGCGAAAATACCGATGCCATTGCAACAAATCCTTTAATTTGACTTCCAATTTCCGTCAAGTAAAATCATTTCGAACGCGAAATGATCTCCTGCAATGTTAAATCTTTTCGCTCGCTGTCACTCGATATAATTCCGTAATTATGCGACAAAATTCGTGTACCGAATTGCTGGCGACGACGGCAAAATAACGCATTGCAACTTATTGTATGTACAGATAATTCGGACACATACGATACATACGAATCTTCCCGGAATATTGATATTGTTGTCACTGTAAAATTCAGGATGTCTTTAAACAAGTCTGCAAACTCGCCGTCATTTTGACTTTAGCATCGGAATCTTCGGATGTTCCGTCGAGTATCTGGAAATCGATGCATTTAACCTTGCTTCGTTATTGGCTGTACGAGAGAGATAGACATAGGGATTAATCACAGTGAAATAAATGAACGAATGAAATTGCGAAACAGTCGTCTACAAACTGCTACAAATTTCCTTCCTCTCGAAAATCTCCAGAGCGACGAGACGTCATGAAAACGGCTCAATTTTTGTCAATTTATATACTCGTAAAAATAGCGTTTCGGAACGCGACAGTGCGTTGATTCCATCTCGGTGGAGTTTTGGAACACAGCCTGCAGCACGTCATGTGTCAAGTGCACGAGTGGTAGGGAGAATGGCGCAGGTGTATTGTGCAAGACTGCGCGGTTTAGGTTAGGAGGAAATTGGAAGAAACAGCTGATCTAGATCTTCATGTTGGAGAAAAAAACTTAGAGGTTTATAGGAGTGATAAAATCAATTAATCCCGATGATCCCAGCCGCTCTTTGGAGTCAGCCTTAAGAGGGATCTTGCGGGAGAAGTCGTCCGACGACTTGACGTTTCGCATTCAGCTGACGAATCATCCGCATGATTTAAACGATGGCAGGCTCAGCGCTCAGACGACTGATGGCGGAATATAAACGTGAGAATCGGCTTTTTAATCTCCTACATCGCAGTAGCATTAGCTCGCTCGTTAATGACGTCTTATACGAAGCTTTTTCCGCGAAGCGGTAACTTCTGCACTATGACGATCTTGCAGAGCTAACCTTGAACCCACCGGAAGGCATCATCGCCGGCCCGATTAACGAGGAAAACTTCTTCGAATGGGAGGCCCTCATTACGTAAGTTCTCTTCGATTTTTTCTCTTTAGATAATTTTCACTGTCAATTTGTACTTGTCATGTTATATACAACTTTTCCATCCTGCTTTTTTTGTACTTTGATTACTTAACTTAAACCAATAAGCTTGTTTTTTTGTCGCTATATTGGACTACACTAGAAATCTTGCTCTTTCGCCAAATTTAAAATATATATTTATTTTATTTGAAATAAACATATTATATTTAAAGTATGAGAGAGAGAGAGAGAGAGAGAGAGAGAGAGAGAGAGAGAGAGAGAGAGAGTGTACATACACTACTTTAACTATGAAAAAAATATGACATTTAGTGCTGAGTAAATAATACTTCAGCTTTGTCATAAATTTTTTATTAGATATAACTTGAAAATGAATGTTGATGGAATTTTTAGTGGACCAGAGGGAACCTGTTTTGAAGGTGGAGTGTTTCCAGCAAAATTAATATTCCCCCCAGATTATCCATTGAGTCCTCCAAAGATGCAGTTTACCTGTGAGATATTTCATCCTAATAGTAAGATATTGCTATTAAGCAAGATAAGATGTATTTTAGCTATTAATTGAACAGCAATACTGAAATTTTTGTCAGCTACTAATATAAAATTATATCTTTTTTTCTATTTAGTCTATGCGGATGGAAGAGTCTGTATAAGCATATTACATGCACCTGGTGACGATCCAATGGGTTACGAAAGCAGTGCGGAAAGATGGAGTCCAGTACAGAGTGTGGAGAAGATACTGTTGAGTGTAGTAAGTATGTTGGCTGAACCAAATGATGAGAGCGGTGCCAATGTGGATGCCGCCAAGATGTGGAGAGAAGATCGTAAGGAGTTCGAGAAAATAGCTCAAAAGCTGGTGAGAAAGACTCTGGGTATTCCACCTTAAAATAAAATCCGTCTGCTGAAAGAAAGGAAAAAGAAAAAGCTCAAGAGCGACAATTATTATTATTTTTGTCGGTCGATGATATATTCCTGTAGGAAACAATAAATTTTTACCTGTGTACCAAACGAATCTCTTGTGTGCAAACAACTCTTCGCACGTTCCACTAATTATTTGCGCGTGGAAATATATTACTTGTCATGAAGTTTTATGAAGGGACAAATCTTTGATGATATAGAAATTGAAGGTGTTAATCTCAAAAAATGTTTATTTTCAACATTGCAGTACAAACATGGGTAATCAAATACATACGCGATTATCTCATACGCTTACATATACCATTTCATCGTGACAAACCGATAACGAAGGACAGGATTCGTTTCTTGTGTTCGGGTGCGTGATTGACGTTAAGTATATATATTAGTATTTAAAATTATCAACTGATCCCACAAATTACCCTACGGCGATGTTAAAGTAATTATCACATTCGCATATGGTGTTATATTATTCGCATGTAAATGTATATCGGCGAAAACGCATTATCAACTAATGTGTTTGAATATCTTTAATATTTAAGGAGAGAATACAGATTAAATAAATATATAATATTTCTTCTTTACAAAGATGTGTGTAATGAAAACAAGTGGAGTAGTGGTTCTTTCATTGAAAAATCATTTTTAGACTTCTAAGTTTGTCTAAACGAAACAACGGTATACTAAATTGTTCTCGCGGTCAGTTATTTTTTTTTTACATTTACGAAATCACGCGAGTGTCGAGAGATCGTCGACATAATCCTGATAGAAGTTCCGGAACGTGTTGCCGCATCGTATTTACAAAATTAAGAAGTCCGCACAGCAGATTGATTATCGTGCACATTCCGCTCTGATAACAATCGAACTTGGTGACAAAGACGTGCAGGGTGTCCCACTTAAAGCGTCCCAATCCGAATAGTCGAATAATTTATTTGAAAGAAAGAACTTTCTTTTAATTCTAAAGATAATTTAAATTGTTTTAAAATCTTTCCAAAAAAAATCTAGTACTTTTTTTCACTGTTAGTGCCTCCTCGCGGATATGACTCCGAGTTGCTTTACGCAAAACACCCTGTAATTAGACTAGAAGAAATAAATTAGTATACCTCGTCGCGTATACAATAGAGGATCTTTGCGATCGAATTGCAAGTATGAGACTTCAAGGATCAGACAAGTCCATTCTTCGAAATTATCAGCTCTCCGTCGAATATATTCATTTATTTGTTTTATCGATGTTTAGCCACGTCTTGATAACATGTTTAAACGTCGAAAGCGTATACGAATCAAAAAGCATTTAGTCAATTTGGCGAAATATCTAATTATTAAAAAATTAACTTTACTTTAATTCGAAAAAATGAACTTGTTTGTTCCTCAGATCTTTGCAAATTGTACCTTCTCACTCTCGCCCTTTTTTGCTTGGATTAAAATCAGTAAGAATAAATACAAGATTTCGCACGTGAATTGGTATTTTATTAATAAACAATACTGAAGTCCAACTGAAAAATGCAGTATTTGTGACTAGCATTCGGCAATATATAAATAATAAGGTTTTAATGTACCTGTTTCGTACAGCCGAAGTACAACATCTTGTACATTTTTGTAACCCTAGGACACTATTTGTACATGCATCTCTGAGACGCATATTGGTCTTTTCTGATCTCCGAAAATCGAGAAGATTTCAACTTTTCGATGTTTTCCGAAAGTCAGATTTTTTTCTATTTTAAAATTATGGTAACATTTTAATTAGATAAAGAAAATAAAGTCTCAATTATTACTTAACGAATAAATTTTCGCATATTCTTTTTTTGTATTTTCCTCAAATATATGCAATCTCAGAGAAGCATGATTATAAACAACTATGAGAAAGAAGAGTTAGCCTTTTAGGGTTAATTATAATTCTTTGATCCCTTTTCTTATATATAATCCCTAAATAATTTTCATGCCAAATTTTCCGAATATATATATACACATACCTAATAACATAATTTACAAACAATCGTGTAAAAATCTTTGTACGCAAAATTACATCTCTAACACCGAACGAAAATACACAGATGTTGTACTCTGGGTACAGCTGCATACTTTGGCATACGAGAGAGGATGCATTTTACATTCTGTGCCAAGCGATAGCAACGCCGATCGAATCTTTATCAAAACTCGATCGCGCCTCCGAACGAATCTGCCACATTTTTCACAACCAGGATCGGAAGCATCATTTTACTTGCAAGGTATCATACCAATATTACGCTTTAAAGATTCATTGCGAGTTAGTCGGAAAATCGAGAGCAAAGTACGCAACAGTGCCGGGATAGTCTGTATATGAACGCTCGACTCGTTTAATGGTTGCAGGTGTTTCGCTTGTCGCGAGACGGATCTAATATCGTGGCCGTCCGTTTATCAGTAATATCACATTTCGCTAGAAGAAGTGTACATTCAAAAGCAATCACTCCTTACAGCGCCGCGCGTGTTTGCGCACAACGACGACGAAAATGTTACAAATATACAAAAACATTTGACACATACACTTCCTGTCGCCTAATCACGCAATAAACAATCGGAGACGGAGACTTGAGCTATCTTTACGAGCCTCTTTCACGCTGTGAACGTGCCGTATTTTGCGCTAAACTCGAGCTTCGTTATTTGTGTTTAAAATCTCGATTATTTTAGAAAATGTCATGCTTTGATTATTTGCACTTGACAATATTCTCTTGTCCGATTATTATATTTAGCTTCGACACGCAACAGCTTTATAGGCCTCCCGCTTGGCGCAGAACGCTACGTTTCTCTTACAATTAATTCTTATAGAGCCGGTTGCATCAACTGTAGCTAATAGAGATATCGATTGATACCTGTAATTAAATAAACTTTCTTTCTGTTTCTTATCTACATATTACTACATAAGACTATAATTTACAGAAAATTGATTAAGGTACAACTAAACTCAGAGGCGACAGTACTAACGAGCGTTAAGAGTTTTAATCTGAATTAACGTAAATCGATTTAAATTAAATTAACTCGATTAATTAAGTTGACTTAGATTAAAAATTAATTGAAACTTAATTAAGCCTAATTTAATTTAAATCAATTAAAATCATCCAAGTGACGATAGTTAACTAAACTTAAAACTAACATAAAAATTAACAGTTAATCGAAAATTTGTCTCTTACTTCATTATTAGCTAGAATTATCATATTTTGTCGTGGTAATTAAGCTTGTTAATGCAACTGACTCTTAAACATAATCTTATCGAATAAGACGCTCACGCTCCCTTACAACTAGAATTTCCTTGTAGTTGAAATCACACGTTTTGTCGTGTGTATGTGTGTTGTGTGTGAGTATGTGAGTGTGTGCAACTTATGCTGATGTAAATACGCTCGTTATAAAACCTTACTAATTCTGTTCTATATACGTATACCTCCCTCTGTGACTGTGAGGTATTGTGGTACCATTATTAACTATACGCACATGCCTTACAAACCCCATGCAGGACTCGCATAGTCCCCCTGGACGATCTCATTAATATTAATAGTAATTGTATTGCAAAATCTACCTGGTGTAAACTGAGTACAAAATTTGTCAGTGTATACGTGTCTGTTTGCATGTGTGTCTGTGTATGCGTACTGTGTCTAAAGCGCAAAAACGGAATTTCAAGCGACACACTTTCTAGATAAACATAATCATATTCACTTGTATCTCGAGGTAATAAATTAGTCAACGAACCACTCCTCGATATCAGTTGAATGTTGAAAGAATGAAAGGGGATCTAGGTATTGATGAACGTATCTTTACGATTTTCAACTACAAATTGCCACAGGAAGTTTCCCTTTGGAAGATCTATAGCAATACTAATGCCACGTTGTTAAGCTCTAGGAAACATTGAAATGTAAAAATTTATTGGAATAAGTATCTCCTTCGAAAGAGCTTGCGGAGAAAGTTTGTGTCACTTTTTTTATAAATTCTTAAATTAATAGTTCCGATAAAATCATAGGTAGAAATTAAACGCGAATATATTAAATTATAAATGTATAAATATAGAACTGCGTGGTACCATCAAAATCTGATTAATTTCGATGAACGTTATTGCGCGACACTTTCTTCAAAATTGTTTGAGCACAAAAATAAACACACGGTTATTCTAATCAAGCATAAAAATAAAGATTATAATTTCGTATAGCACCAGTCACTAATATTTCACTACTTTCCTTTCTATTAACTAAATGTTAATTAGTTTTTAATTGATTGCTTAAACGAATGAAAATCAATGTAACATTTGAATTGCGCATTGCGACTTTAGCTATCCTTTATATGTATATTGCCAGAATATTTCTTTTGGTTATATATATTTGTAAGAGTTTTTACAATCGAAATAACTTTCAATGGTTTCGCGTAATCGATTCGTAAAAGAAAAATGCAGTAATTTCTAACAAATATGATTCCACATTATTCCTTGCTTTTATCTTGTTGATTTGATCTTATAGCAATCAATCCATTTAAATCAACTCCAATGATAATCAGAATTACAAAAATTCTATCTGTTACTGAGTTTAACAGAAAACACATTGCAAAGAATAAACATTAAATATAATCTTCAACGTTATAACAAAATATTAGTATTAATTTGCGTAAACTTTAACAGAAAATGGCAAGTATGGCACGCAAAAAGATTCCAGTCGACTACTGCGTGTGCCTGTTTCTCTCCCTCCCCTCAATATATACGCGTGTGTGTATATTTATATATGCACTTAAATGTGTACGTATAAACGGATATTTGTGCGTAGTTTATGTCACATGTAATCTTGCCATTCGTTATAGTCGATAAAAAGGAACTGAATTAAAAAGGACGATACAAAATTTGTTTACGCTCAGTTCAATCGCGTGTCTTCTTTCTTTTTGTCTCTAAAGTTGTACTGCATAAATTAACAACAGAGATGTAATGATCGTCAAGTAATATTTGATAGGAGATAAACAAATAACTTCACGTTGTGAATCTCCCCTCAATCAATCATTTTGGCTATTTCGCGAACAATTTTACTTTAGCTGCGATACAAGCTGTACAGAATCATATCTTAAAGAAAAAAAAACTATGTTATCTCAAAAGTATCGTGTCAGTGTAGTACATACACAGAATGAATATTATTTATATAATATCATTTCTGTTAAATTTCTGTTGAAATAGAATAAAATTTATTTTTTATTCCTTTCCCTCGACAATTTAATCAGATTGGAACGACCATAACTTGCAGCTCTAAATATATAGTGCACACGGAAATTTTTATATATATATATATATTTATATATATATGACATATACGTAAAATATACACCTAAGAAAGAAGAAACGTGAAGAGACGTGTT